TAGAGGCGCAGAGCTATCAACCGATCACCTTGTTGTTGGCACGCTCCGCTGTAAGAAATGGAGTACCATACGAAGATCTGATGGTAGAAGCAACTAGAGAATCAAATGGAAAACATAATTTTTGTGGATACGAGGGCAAAACTTGCAAACAATATCGCACGACGGTTTGAACAGATCCCGGTGATGACCTCTGATGTGGAAACCGAATTGAAGCTCTGTAAGAGTGACTTACTCTGCACTGCGGCTGAATGCTGTGGCTTGAATCGAGTTGGCCTACCGTTTGAGATCAGAAACTATCTTTCTGATGGACACCAGAACTTTAAATGGCGTTCAGCAGGAATAAGGCTGCATTTAAGAGGTTGCTTGGAAGCAGAAAGTGTTCAACTTGAATGCGTTACGTAGAAATGCACAAAGCGCCTGCGAAAGCAGTGGTCAAATCAATAGCTGATTCCGAGAAAAAGTTTAATAAGGTGCTGCAGGTTGGAGTCGAATTTCCGGGCAGCATACAAGGTATTCCGCAGTACTTCTGCCGCCTCAAACGTGAAAAGAAGGACAGTCTAAGAGTCCTGAAGGGTAAGTTTGGACATCCTCGCCTGAACACCAGCAGAAAACGGATATTAGTGTCTCTGTAGATGAAATCACACAAGCTGTGAAAAGCTTGAAAAGCGGAAAGGCTGCCTGCTGGAACCGATGAAATCAGCCCTAAGATGCTTAAAGCTTTAGGTGAAAGGGTTATGTTGTGACTAATATGATTGTGGAAAGAGACCAGTAGACTGTTTAGGAAGAGAGAACATTGGAAGTGCTGCACTTATCGGAGCATTTTCTTATTGAGTCTCTCGGAAAAAGTTAGAAAGGAGGTGTGCGGAAAAATTAACTCTGTGTTCCAAGAAGAACTGTGTGGTTTCAGCTTAGGTCGAAGCACCTATGACCAGATCTTCGCTTTATGCCAAGTTGTGGAGAAATCGTGGGAATGTGTTCATCCGGCTTCCATGTACTTTGTTGACCTGGAGAAAGCCTATGATCAGATTCCACGCAACAAACTGTGACCGTGCCTCGCAAAGTACGGGATCAATGGGCAGTTACTAGGACCATTGCAGTCACTTTTTTAATAGGTGCTGCGTCAGAGTCAATTGCATTAAGCTGAGACCTTTCAGCGTTGGCACTGTTCTCCACCGAAGCTGCTCCCTGTCCCCTCTTCTGTTTGTGTTGTGTATAAATAAAATAGTGAGGAGCAGCCAAGGCAATGAGTGTATCAGTGTAGGAGATGTGGTGACGAGAAGGTTGACGTGATGTGGAGATTAGATGACCTTGTTCTGTTAGCATCGTCTGAAATTGATCACCAGGGCACTCTGAAAAGGTTCGCAGAAGAGTGCGACGTAGCGGCATGCATGTTAACGTGTCTCAACTCAAAAGCCTAGTGATTTCTCGTTAGCCGGTCCATTGCGTACTGCAAATAAACTGAGAGAAAATGGATCGAAGTGGACAAATTCGGTTACCTCGGGGTCGTGTTTCCTGGTGATGGAAGGTGAAAGGAAGAGATCAACCGGCCAATCGAAATGGCCAGGCGGCATTCTTCATGAACTGGAGTGAATCGTTGTGACGAAAGGAAAGCTGGTTCTCAAGACTAAGCTTTCTGTGTTCAATTCGTTCATACCCGATGTTCTTCTACGGACATTAGTCGTAGACCGTGACTGAAAAGCTTCGATTCCGAATACAAGCGGCTGAAATGGGGATTCTGAGACGAATCGCTTGACTTCAGCATGTCGATACGTCCGGAGTATAGATGGCGAGGATAACTTGGTGTGCAGCCATTGTTTCTCCAGATTGAAAAGTCAAGCTGCGATGTTTTAGGCACGACTTGCGAATGCTTCTAGAAAGGAAATCCGAAACAGCTATTACTTGCCCGAGCAACAGGCAGAAGTCCTCAGGGACCAAACCTGAGGCAAGTGTATGGAATGAATCCGTTCCAGACTCAGGCTACCTACTGCCGAAGCCCAAACGCTGGCACAGGATCGGAAATGTTGAAGGCGCTGTCTAACACGTCTGCCTTCGCGATCTGAAACGATAAGAGGTCATCGAAGCTGACTGACGACATCCGAAACGAATATTAACTTTGACATTGAAGGGCAAAATCATGATCACTTAGAACATAGCACTGGAACTTCAAGGCGCGTTGAGTGCAGTGCAACAGAAGCTGAAGCCATTGGAATTGCCAAACTCTGCTTTTCGAAATTATGTGAAGAACATGTCTGACGTAGCACCAACGAAGATATATGAAGCGGAGGCAGTGGTCATTGGTCATTCCCTTTCGAAAACCCATAAAGCTACGACAAATAAAATTATAATTAAGCCACTCATACGCTTTATGATAATGCAAAAATGAAAAGTAATGACTACTGTAGCATCTCTAATGGTATCGACAAAATGGAGTAGCCATGTACTGCGTGGTGTAATTAATATGACATTATGTGCAGAAAGTACTGATAATAAACCGTGCCATTTTTCTTCATAATCTGCAAAGCTGGATATGAAAACTTCCTTACTTTTTATTAATGGAATATTTCGTATCAGCGAGACTACACCTGATTTCTAATTCACACCCTCTAAAGACAGTTCCGTTCCAAACGAAAATTTTTTCATGACATCATTAGGGAAATTATGAAATTTCATCGCAACTTCAAGTTGTACACACTATGTACATATGAAGTTAAACTCAATTTGTTTGTTTTTATTACCACCAAGTCGTTCAATGCTTCAAACCTTGACAAATGAAGTTCTGTTCCATAAAATAGTAAAATAAATGAACTGCGTGGCGTTCAGAATTGTTTCACACTGGATACATCAACGGTTCTGACGAAGAAACCGATAGGGGCGCCTTTAGATGCTGCTGCTGTGCACGATACTCCGTCCATAATCTGTGTTCTGCCGCACGTTACTACTTGCTGTAACTTGTTTCTAGCAGGAAGTGTATAAAAATATACTTCCCATGTGTAAAGGACCGAAGTTTTCAAAGATGCTGGCAACGTCGTTGTTGTTCAAATTGATTTGCTTTTTCAAGGATGCAGATTATTTGCTGAAGTGTAGTGCGACTGCTCGAGACATCGTGCAAAACAGTAAGTTACTTAATATTAAATTTGTTGCCCACTTCGTTAAAAAATGCTGACTTTAAACCTGATGTATTTTGTAAGTTTAATTTGACATTTTAGCGTCCGGAAAGGAAGCCATCAGCAATGATAGAAAATTTTTACATTTTTAATTTAAAATTTCATTACGCCAAATGCCACCTCTTGTTAAAAATAAGAGCAATATGTATTTTATTTGCACTTATTGAAATAGC